TGAGAAATGCAATCCCATAATAATTCACAGTTTGATTTTTAATCTTGGCATTGAAATTAGTATTTTATGAGAAGTTTTTATAATAATCCATATATTTTTAAAATTTGATGTTTCTATTACTTTTATATTGTACTTTAAATTTTTTAGAGTTTTTTAATATCAGTAATTTATATTGAGCTTTAGTTTCAATTAGAGATAGGTAAAACCATTCTTTTATGAGATCAGAACAATTCACATTCATTATTCACTCACTGAAATTAGTCGGTTCTTAAGACTCATTGCTCATTAAAAATAACCTTGATGAAAAAAATCTAAATTGAGAGGTTAATTGAGAGCAGTTAGTGAGAATGGAGCAAAGAGCATAAAGAATTGAATAAGCAGCGGAATTGGGACCAGTTAGCCATGTTGCAGTGACAAGCAAAAAGAATCAAACGAGCTGTGGTATTGGAAAAATTGACTCAGTTAAATGCTAAATCCCTGAACTGATTACTTTCATTTGTAGTTTTGAGATTCCCTAAAACCTCTTTTCTACACAGAACTAACAACCAATCATCTTAGAATAAAACTCCTCAAAATAATTGGGAAATGATAAAAATTAAACTTACTTTTAACATGGGGTTATAATCATTCCTTTCTTCCCTAAAATGAGAATTGAATTTTCCTGCCACATGAATAACAAGAGCTCTCTTGTGAACTGTAAAAGAGTAACATCTTCCTTTTTTTGAAGAGTAAATTTTCTCAGTAAAGTAAATCGGTTTTTGAATCTGTTCTGTTGTGAATTGTGCAACTCCAATTTCAATTGCTGAGCCTTCATCATATTAGTACTTACACATTTCAGTTTTACTGATGTAGACAAATGAGTTAAAAGAATATTAAGTAGTAGTTTAGCTGCACAAAAAATAATTAGAAATTAATTTGTAAAATTTTGAAAGGTGAATAATAATAGTAAAAAAAGAGAGAGAAACGAAATAGGCTTGCTTAATTTAATATTTATCTGACAACAAATTTGTAGGTTATAGTCAAAGCAGATTTTAGTTTAAACTCTTGATTGAATACTAACTAACAGTACACGAATTCAGTCTTTTATAGCGCATATGAAAAAGATTAAAAGAAAATATAGCTTTTTTTTAATCAGTAGAATGAAGTTTAAAAATCATTTATCTATATTTTAAGACTATAAAAAGCTGTGCTTAATTTTTAAATAAGTTCAAATATTATTTCAATAAACTGTAACTTTATTTGGAGCTTCTGATAAAAAATGAAATTTTAACTATAAAATTACTAGTTTAGTAGCATCATTGATTATTTGGGCATTCTTTTCCAGTGTGAAAATGTTGGACAGTATTTCTAACTAATGTTAACTTCATAATTTACACATATTTCTTTTCAAAAAAGAAAAATATAAAAGCTATAATTTAGAGAAATGCTGCATTGAGTATTTGTATTTTATGTAATTTTTTTAAGAAATTCCTGTCTTGTTTTCACAAGTTAAAAAAAAAAAAATTCCTAATTTTGAAAATTCTGTCTTTAACACGTAATAATTAAATAGCAAAATGCTAAAATATACACTTCTTAGTAAAATAGCATATTTTTAGAAATTTAACAGTTATACTTTTTTTGCTAACATGAGAAATAAACATTCCTAAATTTGCTGTTTTGCAGCTGAGGATGGTGGTTCGATAAAACCATCGAAACTAGTCAAAAAACTGTGAAATTTTGTAAATATAACGCTGATTTTTGTTGTTTGTCTTTCGCCGTGTTATTGTGTCTTAATTCCTAAATTTCCTTCTCTTCCTTTCCTCAAATTGTTCACTATGATGGAAAAAAAATTTTAAAAAACTGATATTTTATGTGTATATTTAACATGGAGTTACTTTTTAAAAAGAATTTTTCTGATTGAAGATTCTAGTTTAAAACATAGTTTGTAAGTTATATTTAAAACATTATCACTGTTATAATAAATATACCGACTGATCAAAATATTAAAGAATGATACTAGTACATCAGTCCTTCTCTCACATGAATAACTGACTACATACATCTAGGCTTTCATCCCATCAATTGCTATAGGAATGTTAAAGGAACTGGAGATTGTGCCATTTCACAACATTGTCTACAGATTGCCCTAAATATTTGATATTTCACTCAGCAGTATCTCAAAGTGAATTCTGTGGCTGAAATTCACTCATCTGAGTTTCAGATTACTTGTTTCTGAATGCTGTGACACTTGGATGAATGTTCCTTGAACCATATAGGGATTGTAATGGCATACGTTGTTCTACTGAAATTAATACATCCTTTAGCATACATTAAGAACATGTATCATGCAATATTTAGGAGATCTGAAAGTCATAAACAGACTTAATATATTTTGTGCAAAGACTTTCCATGCCATCACATAGCCACCATGATATTCAGCACCATCAATTTACAAGTGATCCAAAGGTTAATGTTGTCAACACTACACCTGTAGCTTTCCATTAGTCCAACAATTTGTTTGACTGGTATAGATAGAAAATAGATTAGCACATCCTGTAGTATCATTATTGGATTGAGGTATTGCTTTACTTAACTAACTAATTAAGCTTCTGCCCCAATTCGGAATTCCGAGACAAAACACTGAGAAGGCATATTCCGAGGATCTCCTGTCCTTCTTTCCCTACCACTAGTGCCTTGAGAGGACTGTGTCTTGAGTGCCCCTTGCCATATAGACACTATATGTTTACAAACATACATGCCTTTTCTAGGATTTGAACCCACGACCTTCTGTACTACAGCCAGCGTCACTAGCCACCATCCCATCTGGTGGCAGATTCATGTGACATACAAGTCACCATACAAAGAAGTTCCATTCTGATATGTGTAGTACAAAGCAAGTTCAATACTATTTAATGACCAATAATGCATGGCTATCGCAGGCATACTGGTGAGCTATCATACAGAATTGGCAGTATGCAGCATACCATCTGCCAACTATTTTTTGAGGCTCAAGTATTGAATTTGGATATTCAGTGCATGCTATTGCTATTTAGTTGACCTGTGTTTACTTAGATAGACTACATTGCCCTTGATCTGTGCTTGCTTGCCGGTACATCTTGATGATATAACAGATTTTAAGTATATTACCATCTTGAAAATTCTAGGGTTGTTGCCACTTCAAAAATAGAATGACCAATCTGTCTTATAGTAATAAGTAAAAGTGGGTAGGACACTAAAATTTTAGCATTAGTTGTATAGGAATAGTGTTACTGTACCAACTGGATCTCCAGCCCAATATTGATGGACAGTCCCTGGGAATGATCCAAGGGTCTCCCACCTCTCTTTCCCTACCACTAACCATTCAAGAGGGCTTACAGTTCGTCTGTATTTTGGAGTAGTACCCCTGTGTTGCCGTGACACTATATACTTACAAACACCCATGTTTTATGTGGAAATTTGAACCCATCGCCACAATAGTCAGTGTCACTAATCATTTATGATGCATCCATAATCAGTCACCTACACCACATTCACTATTTTCTTTGTGCTGAACTTTTAGAAAGCATGCATGTTTATAGTTTGCCTACTGCCCACCAATTTGTAAGTGCCAATCCAATATTATACACATCATTCAATCATTGTGTCTTAATATTTTGATCGCTTGGTGTATATTTTTAAAAATTAGAGTGAGAAATTAAGAGATTGATGGAAGCACTATATGTATATATACCTTTATGGTACATATGATGTGCCTTATATTATTTTAAAATTTATAAAATAAAACGAAATTTAGCCATAAAATATCTAGATTTTAGCTTTTTTGTGTAGTTAAAATAAGTCGGTAAAGCATAGTGAGTGCTTAATATGAGACTTACTAGCAGTTACAAATATCATCTCTGTAAGCAGATAACTGTTAAATCTACTTTATTTATTTCGCATTTACATGCTGTGCTGTTATGTACTAAATGTCTTTTTATTATAGATTTATGCATTAAAGAATCAAATGGAATAATCAGCCAAACTGTCAAAAATCATGGCAGTAGTTCTATATTTTTAAGTCGCATATACTAATTCATAAATTCCCATTTTAATTGCAAATTCATTTTTTTAATTGTAACCATATTTTATCTGCTCTGAAGTAAATATTTTTAATTATGCTGACATCTAGATAGAAAATTATTTTTAATTATGAAATAAATTTTGTATTAAATTTATCAACACTGATATATTATACATAAGTGTAATTTTCATAAGTTTAGGTAAGTTGATATCAAGTAAATATGATTATAATAGAATCTCAAATTATGAAACATAAATCAGATTCAATGATGCTCATAGTACAGAACTACCAATGGCTGACTATCAAAATTGCCTGAACAAATTATATTTTTTACAAGATTAATTCAATAAAAGACATGTAATCACTGCATATTTAAAATCAATGTAATTTTGTTCTTTTTATGCATGTAACAATTATTTCATCAAAGAATGGTCCATTATGATACATAGTAAAGTGCATGTGGTAGAAAATCAGTAATATTTAACGAATGATAAAGGGGATAAAATTAGGTACTCTATAAATTTCACAAACCACTTTTACAAAAAGTTAATTAATATAGCTGGTTTTCTGAATTACTCCTTTTATTAGTAATAATAATTGTTACTTTCAGATGTTCATGATATCGTATAATCAGAACATTATACTATGCCTAATATATTGTACAAAAATTTTATTTTTTAAATTCAAATTACTTTTAAGTTTTGAAGGGTAAAATTATGTGCCCACCATGGTTTGGCGTTTAATTAAATAATGCATTTATAGTAAATGCAAATTTTAACTTGTGCAATATAGTTGATTCTGAATATAAAATGCCAATCTGAATGTTAGTTACGAGTTGGTTTTAGAAACTAGCATTTCCCTTTAATATCTATGGTCTGTATTTATAACATATTTAAGAATGCCAAATTTCATATTTGTTCATTTACAACATATGTTTTAGGTTTGCAATTATGACTGTATATTTTTTTTTTTTTTTTTTTTTTTTTTTTTTTTTGTTGTAGCATGTTTCATTTTAAAAAGTTTTATTTCTTTGCTTGTAATCTTATGTGAATTGTTTGTATATGAAGAGTTGAAAAATTACTGTTGTTATCTGCTTCATAATGAATTAAAGTCATACATTAATAAAATGCTCCTGTTTATTGAGTCAAAAATTCTTTAAAATACAAATCATTATAAGCTTAAAAATCTAAGGCACAATTAGAAATTTTAAAGAATATTTAGATTCACTTGATAACTTTATTAGTTCATTTGCAAAAAACCACACATGGCTTTATGAAAAATAACATTACAATACACAAAATGAAATAGAAATATTTATTCAACAAAATTTTTTAAAAACCCATGTGAAAGTTGATTTTATATAAACTGTTTTATGGCACAACAGTCTCTGGCACTCATGGTAGTCATCAAATATAATACTAAAAGTGATTGGACTAGAAAAATAATTTCATACATCTAATTAAAGCTGAAATTGTATTAAAAATAGTTCATTGCATTTTATTTACCTTAAAGGTCACTATTGTAATAAATATAACTGACAATCTTTTTGGGGCAAGGGGGTATTCTAGAAACAAATTAAATTTAAAATCAGCTTCATTGATTAAAATTGATTATTTTATAAGTTTCAACTTCCAGCACTAAACACATTTCATATGTAATTATATATATTAGTTATTCATTTTCTACATTAAATTTAATATAGTGCAAATACAATAGAAAATCAAAAATCGGCAGGGACTGGAAGTAATGCAATTATGCCATAAAAGAAAAATCTTACATTTACACAAAAATGTTATTGAAAAATTTTTTATTGATATTTTCATGGAGAGTTATGACTTCATACAAAGATTATTGCCATTACATTTAAAAAATTTTTTAAACTTCTGTTTTACAGTAAAAACTTTTGGAGAGTTCTAGTTCGAATTTTTTTCCCCTCCTATCAAATTATAAAATCCTAATCCATTTCCATTGTTTTAATCCATTTCCATTGTTCTAATCCATTGTTTTAATCCATTTCATTTTACTATTATTTACAAGAAAATCATGCTTTTAGTTAGAACTTGCCGTTTCAGTACAATGAAATGTATTATATTTTAATTCTAGTCGTAATAAAACTTTAAAATCCCTGCTAATTAAACATGCCACACTTTTGTCCTTCCTTAAAACTGACAGCTATTCTCACACATGTATCCTTCAGGCTAATAATATTCTCCTGATGTACAAACTTTCCTAATCACACACAGAATATCCAGCATAAGAATTCAGCTTCGATTACTGTAATCTTGCTTTATGAAAACAGTGCAGAGTTAATTTAATAGAGGTTCCAAATTCTGGCAACTCTTGGCAAAATATCTATCTGGTGACAAAAATGTTATGTTATCAACAGAGCCACTGAAGAAGAGTTTAACAGAATCACATGGCATTACCACTAAAGAACAGTTACCAAAGGCACATGGCACTGCTATTACTCTAAGTAGCCTAAAAGGCTGCTCAGATTTTAATTTGGTAGATTTCCGATTTTCTTCTATTCATCTATGTTAAGCGTTAAATATTTATGATATTTAACTGAAAATTTTCAATATAAACTTATTTATTTTTGATTTTAAAATGCACAAAAAGCTTTTTTAATCCTAATTATAAAATCAATGAATTTTTATTAATGAAACGGTCACATTTATATTTTTAAATTACAGCCGGAATCAAAATTACTCTTTGAATACTTTATTATTCATAGTAAGTATTAATATTAATTAAATTTTTAATAATTTTAGAGTTTCTGTATGTTATTTTGATGAAATGAAAATAACTAAGAATGATGTTATGTAATAAAACCATTATGCTAAAAGCTTTTAATTTATGAAATATCAGTAAGCATTTGAAATATATTGTTTTCTGAAAATGAAATACCTTAATGATAAAAGTCTAACATTTAAATAATCACGTTTTAAAAGCACAATATCACAAAAATTATTCATCTTTAAAAACTGACAGTATGAATAATAAGTTTGTAAACATATTGCTTAAATGTCTACTTTTCTCGAAGTTGGCATTGAAAATTAAACCTCATCATTAGGAACTAAGTACACAGTAAACATTTTATAAAAATATGAGTATTTACATGATAAGTACTCTGATACAACTTATGTAAAATAATTTCGGTAAACTTGTCTTTCCTTTAGAAGCAATCACTCATCAGAATTTAAACTGCAGGGTCTCCTGAATTCTTGTCCTCTTTCATGAAGCCATTTGTTTGAAACTAAAAACAATGCAATAAATGTTTTACAAAGGAAAATTTATAATGAAGTAAGCATGTGACTTGCTCGTTGATTTTATATATAATTTTGAAACCAAACATAAAACAAAGCACGGCATTTAATTCAAAACTAATCAAATTTGCACATTTCAAGGCCTACCTTTGATAAAGATCAGAGATGAATATAATAAATGCACTCAAATGAAAGTGAGACTGATAAATTTCTGGAAAGTTTATTAGAACATAGTTTTGCAAATTAAAGAGTGGCACTTTATTATATCTGGTAAATAAAGTTAAATCAATGCACATGATGAATGTATCTAAAAGATCATCCTGTGTGTGTTGTGCAACAAATAATCAATTACCTACATATAATCACTTTATCAGCTGAAACAAATGTCCATTGGATCCCAAAGATGACAAATACCGTCAGCAGAGAAAGTCTCTGTTTGTACCTGGAACCATTCTTCAACAGTTTCTCAGACCTCATCAACATTTGTGAACAGTCATTTCTTTTAAGTGGGCCGATAAAGGGCAACATGTCAGGACTGTAGGGAGTGATGAATTTTCCATGGGAAACACTGCAGTAGATGTTTGAAATTTGTTGCCACATAAGGGCAGCCCTTGCAGTTTAACATGTCATACCTACAATTTTTGATGATTCTTTCCACTTTGAATAAGGTTTGATTTGTTTTATTTGACTATGGCAAAGGACTCGAGGGCTATCTGCCTAAAGGGAGGTATGCCTTTGTGTAAAACTGGCTCCTATAACATGTCACACATGGAGAAAACTATACCAACATTTGTAAAAATTGCAACACCATGAGGGAGTTACGCAAACTTAACTACACTTACAGGAAATGTGAAGTGAGGCAAGTCATGCAAATGATTAGAATTACAAAGAGATTGTGCATGTGTGGAATGAGAACTAGCCACTTGTTCCATGTATATAAAGGACTGTAAGGTTGCATTGAAATCTGCTTCATCACCTTCTGTCAGCAATAAACATTTAATTACAGGTCAATATGCCTTGTCAACAGAGGAGGATGCCATACCAACAACTAACGAAGTTTGAACCAGGCCGCATCATTGGTATGCGAAAAGGTGGATTTTTGTATTGAGCAATTGCAGCCAGCACGCAGTGTAATGCAACAAAAGTGATGCACATTTGGAAGAAATGGACAGAGAAGAACAAAACAAGGTGAAATCTTTACAGTGGAACATGCAATAGCACAACAGCATGGGACGAGACACCTCATCTATATGGCTGTGGCGGACTGTACAGCATCCTCTCGTGCGTTAGCTCGTGTTGGGCTGTGTAGGTCCACAGTTTGTCACCATCTGCTGCAGCATGAACTGTGTGCAAAGGGTCCTCTACCCAGGATTCCTTTGTCACTAAATCAGATGCCTCTGACTTCAATAGGCATGGCAAAACAGTGCTTGGAATGCCCTGTGGCAATAAGATGTGTTCTCCAATGAATCTCACTACAATCTAGAGTACAATGATGGAAGAGTATGCATTAGATGTTGTAGAGGGGAACGTCTGCTCCCACAGTGTGTTATCCAGTGCCATACTGCACAAATGCCTGGTGTCATGGTGTGGGGAGCTATTGGGTATAACTGTCGATTCCATCTAGTGCAGATTGCGAGCAACCTCAACAGCGATCACTACATAAGGAAAGTTTTGGAGCCAGAGGTCCTCTCTATTATTCGACGCATTCTGGGTCAGAAACAGGATAATAACCATGCACATGTTTCTCAGATTTCACAAGCCCTTTTTAGGGCACAACACGCTTTGCTTCTTCAATGGCCTGCTTATTCTTCGGATATGTCGACCATTCAGCATGTTTGAGATTTCATCAGTCGGCGACTCCTCATACAGCTGATGGGAGCACACTAAGACTGAACTTAGACGTCAAGTCAAAAGCATATGGAATGCCATTCCCCAGAATTACGTTCAGAACCTGTATGATCTAATGCCATGACGTGTACAGGTTGTCATTGATGAGCAAGGCAGACACATAAAGTACTGATTACCAACGTTCATTTGTTTTTTTTTTTTTTTTTTTTTTTGTCTCATAAATTTGATCGTTTATTTGTTGCCATAAATATTTATCAACTTATTTTATCTGAACTGATGATGGATGACCATCGAGTGTATGGTCGAATGGATGAGTCATCATTTGTCCATTTCCGTTCATCATTTGTCTGTTTACTTCCTTAGAGTTTTCCTGTTTTATCTCTGCTCTACATTTTTCAATAGTACTGACATTTTCATTATATATAATTATACATAAAAATGTTATTTGTGTTTAATAAAACAATTACATAAAATTTAAAGGTATGAATGAGTGTTAGTTATTTATGGACAAATAATCAAAATTTAATGTAAACAAGGGAAGGGAGAAACTAACAAAGTTTAGAAAGATATGGTTTATAATACATGAAATTAGCTCACATAACCTTTGGTTTCCAGGTATGTGAATTACCAGAATTCTACTGTACTAAAATACAATGATACTTGTATGATGTTTTATTATACTAAGTTATTTACATATAGCTAGCTATCTTGGTTAAATAACTTACACCTTTTCAGTAGGACAGTTTCTAGCACTATGTCATAAAGGCTTAGTTACCAAGAAAAAATTCCTCAAATAATCTAAAGCTTTCCACATAAATACAGTTTCATGTTTCAGTCATAACATGGGCAATATAATCATAATATATTAATAATTTTAAAATGTAATATAAGTCATAATATAGTCATAATATATTAATAATTTTAAAATGCAATATAAAACATTATTAAATTATGAAATATAAACATTTTGAATATTAAATGAATTCAGTGCAGCATAAAATATAATCTGAAATCCAAACTTAGCAGTTTGGCATAATAATACAGATCAAAGCAGACTGTAAAAAACAAGATATTTCTCTTATATATATAATTATAGTCAAATTTAATTGTTAAATTATTTCGGTAATAAAATGTTCTATGTGTTGAGAATATTCCTCTAAATTGTGAATAATTTGCTTATAGTTAAGCTAATTTTATTTTATCATAGCATCTTGTATATGCTCTGTCTATTGGACAAAAAGCATGCATAAGAGCAAAATCGGATGCTGTTTGAGGAGAGAAGTATATATAAACTGTAAATAATTTAGTTTTTATAAACTAAGGATTTTTCAACTAATGTAACATGCCCAGGATATTTGTTCATTTTCACAGCAGAGACCACATCACTATATATTACAATAAACTGTATAATGCATATCTAAATAAAGTAGTTTTATGGCATGTTGTATGTAAAGTAAACTTTTTTAACCTATGAGATTTCGACATTTCAGCTTGAACATTTTGTAAGAGTTTAGTGATAAATGCTGCGTTTTTCATGTCTCGAAAACATGACTTAGGATATATATTAGATTTATATATAGCATTGTTCTATAATAAGTATTTTGACACAAAATGGGACTTTTTCTGAAATAACATACCAATTTTTTCCCATATTTCGATTCTATGACTCAAATTATGCCTAAATATTAAATTTTGTAAAGTTTGGTGCGAAATTTATGAAGAAATTTAAAAATTTAACTTAACACAATTTTTCAGTTTGCACCAAGAATAATTCACTCGGCGAACTTCTTATATATGGCAACCTATTTTCCTTTCCCTTCCATTGTGTGGGAGTGGAAAAAAGTCACAGCGTTCCTAGTTTTTTACATTGTGCATGATCGGGGAAAAAGTCACATAGTTTCTACTTTCAAATAATTTTAACAAAGTGCCTAAACCACATCTGATGTTATTATCGCTTTCAACAAATATGTGAAATTTCAAAACGTGCCAATATATAAATTAAAGTATTTCTTCGGAAATTTTGAATAAAAAAAATTAATTTTTTGCAGGTGTGCTTAGAAATACATCTACTTTAAGATGATGGTAAAAATTTTATAGATTATAATTCAAATTGTTTCTCGAAAAATTATTTAAAAATACAAATTAAAAAATAAATCATAGAAAATAAGCAAATTTTATTTGGAATGAACCTAAATTTCGAGATATCAAAGGAAGAATCAAATAAGTTTAATAAAAAAAGAGATATTAATAAATATATATCAAATTCAATTAACATTGAAGAGCTAAAATTTTGAGAGCTAGTTTTTTAAAAATTACTCGTGCAATTTTTACAGAACTTGGCAGTTTGGCATAATTTGAATCCTAGAATCGAAATATGGAAAAAAATTGGCATGTCATTTCAGAAAAAAGTCCGATTTTGCGTCAAAATACCTATATTAGAACAATGCTATATATATACATTTAATACATATCCTAAATCGCGCTTTTGAGACATGAAAAACACAAGTTGAATTTCGTCAATTGGCCCAGTAGAATGCCCCCCTCCACTTTTTTTTCGTAGTGTACATACAATTACATGTCATGTTTCAGCAAAAAGTATTACAGATTATGACTGGTTCTTTGACAGGATTATCTTATGAAACATTGATCATATAATCCTACATCACTATATCACCACAAATCACGACAATATATATGGTTTTTTGTCGTACTAAGAAATTACAGAAACCAGATATCAGGAATGAAGATATTTCATATCAACTTTTAAACTTGAAATAAAAAAAACCATGAAAAAGGAAAAGAAAGGAATGTTAAAAGCATATATATACTAAAATCTTACCCCATTTAGAGCCTGCTAAAACAGGACAAGCCGCATGCCGGGTATTCAAGTCACCTTCACCATTTCTAAATAAATTGTACCAAAAGGCTGCTGTTCCCTGATTTGATACAGAAATACAGTAATTTAAATAATATAGATAGTGAAAAATACAGTAATGTAAATTTATCATAACACTTTTGGTATTTATGTACTTCAAATAGAACACAGTACGTCTATAACATATAAAGTTCATTTTAATACATAAATGTATTTTAAATTTATAACTTTCTTATACTAAATATATAAATAGAAGCTGTCTGAATAATAATTACAAAGAAAGCACTTTTGTAAGCCTCATTATTTTTCACAGAAGTATAACAAATTGTATATACTTTGAGATAAATTTTACCATTTTTTTTTAATGTACATAATCCTTAAACAGAAATAACATATATTAAAACACAGAAAAAATTGAATCATGAATTCATTATAAATCAGATTTGCAGAATATTCATTACATTATAATAAAAACATTAAAATAATTGTATTACACAGGAAACATCTTAGTTTTGTTTATTTTGTTATATAAGTACCAATAGACTATCAAATACCAGGTATATCCCATATATGCGAAAAAAATGCCATAGCATAAAACACAGGCTTCACCAGAAAAAGTATACCAGTTAAAAGTAGAAATACCATTGAGCATTACAGCATAATTATCAATATATTACATCAATACTTATAAAGATAAATTATAAGTTTCCGAAGCAAAAAGTTATCATTATAGGTCAGTGATGTATCTAGAAAGATGACAGATTAATATTAAATGTCACTGCTGAAACGACTGATGTTTCACATTGGTTTAAACCATTCAAAAAGACTTTCCAAAATTCTATATAATGTAAATAATTTCATGCATATTTAAGGATAGGGTTTCGAAAAGTCATACAGATAAAAAGGGTAAAGTAAGAAGTATTGAAAATTTCATTCAACAAGACAGATTTTAGTTCTAATACTTTCAATTGAATCAACAGACACATACCATGGCTTCACTTATATGATATATATATATACATGGGAATAGTGGGACTACTTTGTGATGCACCACACAAAGATAAGAAATTCATGTGTGCATTCCTCCCCTAATGACACTCTCTGTGCTGGTATGAGGTGAGAGACAACATGCTCTGACATTGTAGAAGAAAACAGTCTGTTCGGTTATGCCTCCACTTGACATTACACGAGTCATAACTTCAAGACCAGTGCCAGGGGATTTTAGTAATCTCTGCACTGTGTCTGTTATCATGGCTCCTTGAAATCAGAAGGCCACCTTACCAACCCTCCTATAGCTCCTCTGATATGGCCTTAAATTATTAAGAAACAGAAGACAAAATATAACCCAATAATTAAGAATAAGCAACTAATTCAGTTTGAAAACTTTCATATAGAGAAAGATGCTCAGAAACTCTCGACAAGAGACACTTGTTGCTAGCAAGATCCTCATATAATGAGGACAATGCTTATCTTACCAATGCATTCAATTTTAATTATGAGTTAACATTATGCACTGTTAATGGAGCTTCTCATAGATTTATAATAAATGAGTTTTAGTTTTATATGCAGTATGTAATACACAACCTAAACAAATGCAAACCAGTTAGCTACCAATCCTTATGATTATTCTTCTGATGCAACTGAAAATGGTATTGTTAGAATGAATGAGGATAATTTGTTTCATTCATAATACTATGAATATTGTTGGTATTTATACATGCTCTAGTTCATTTATAGGTTTATTTTGAAACTCTACAGAAGAATATATAGCAATCGACTTATTTTTAAAGCTTTACAAAATCAAGCAGTCTAGTGAAGGCTAGTATTTAATTTATTTAGCAATATTTCAGGAAAATTAGAGCTGTAAAAAAGTTCTCTTCATTTAGAAGGGACATAAGTTCAGGTTTATTAAAGGAATTAAATCTTTCAGATATTTAGCTAAATACATTTGTCAAAATACACTTTTTTTGTTGACATTTTCCTATATTGCTTCAAAATCATTTCTCTATGAAGCAAGCAAATTTTGAAATTTTGTGATCTCTTTTTCACAGCAAGCAACATTTTTTTTTTTTTTTTTTGTAAAATCTCAAGAAGTATATCCGAGGGATAAAAGTAGTTCTTACATTCAGCCAAAAATTTGATGAATCTATGCTATCTATGTAATTTCCCCAATTTTTTAAATTTAGATATTCATCATTGCTTCTAAATGGCAGTGCTTCTTTTGCCAAGAAGCATACAGAATTATTTTAAAATTTACATTTTTTACTGCAACCTTGTTACGAGTGTTGAAAAACCCCACAAACGATTTTTTTATCGCCATTAGTAGGCGCTTCTCTTCTGAGAAAAGAATATTAGTTAGTTCAGTTTGCGACATAGTAGATAATGAACCATCGATGCAATCCAGGTTGCTTTGTAAATAAAATGATTATTTTTGTAGATTGCTGAAGTATTGGCTTCAATTAGAATTAAGTATGATCAGCTCTCTTAAGGAAGCCAATATAACTATAATATAAATATAATGTGTTTTTTTATATCTTGGCCATAAGGCTGGGAAAAGGCCAAACACGCTGGTTGTGCTTCGAATAAAGAATATAGTATACAAGTGTTGCTAACTTCGGAAATATGTGCTGCTATCTTTGGATACCTTGTTCCAAGTAAGATAAATAAGAAGATGGTTCAAGGTAAGATTTAATATTCGCCTTTTGTTAAGAAATGAATCTTATTATTGCAAATTACTTCCGTTTTGATTGAACTGATGACTGAACAATTAGCAAATGATTTCTAACTCCTCTTCTTTATGTAATTAAACTCAGAAAAGAAATTTAGTTAATGAAGATATCAAGTTAATTTGAAAGCATTGTTAAAAAGTGATTTCGAAATGGAAATCGCAAGGGCTAAAAGAGCTACACTTAGATCTCTTACAACAAGGTTAATTTCTAAAATCGAAGCTAAAATTTTAGAAAATGAACCAGAAGAAGAGTTGGAAGAACTTTCAGAGCAGATAAATTTGAAATTAAAACAGTTAAAAGAAATAGATTCTGAAGAATTAAATGTGATATCATGAAAAATTGATTAACTGCTCATGTAAGTTGAAAGCTGCTATCACTAAATGTAAACCAAGCATACACAGAACACAACAATTATTAGCTTATTAAAATTAGAAAAACAATTCGTTAAATTACCATCGTTAACAATAAGAAGATTCGATGGCGATCTTGCCGATGGCAAAGATTCTGTGATCAGTTTGAATCACTGATACAGAGAAATGGAAGATTTATCTACATAGACAAATTTAATTACTTATACTCATATTTAACAGGAGTAGCCGCAAATGCAATTAAAGGAATTACACTAACAAATCAAAATTACGAAGCAGCAAATAGAAACCTTAAAGGAAAGATTTGGACAAAAAACTTTGGTCATTAATTCTCATTTGAATAAGCTGTTAAATATAACACTTGTTAGGAAATCGACAGATGTCTCTCTGCTTAGAGAATTGTTAGATGCCTGTCAAATAGAACTTCGCAATTTAGAAGCCTTGGGGGTAAATTCAGAAACTTACGGTTCTCTATTATGTCCCATAATGATTAAATTAATACCGCAAGATACTGTTCTAGAGATTAAAAAATGCGGAATAAATGAAGATTGGAAAATGCGAGATAGATAAAAATGCACTAAAAAATGCGGAATAGATGAAGATTGGAAGGTCTCAAAAATATTTAATATTCTAAAAATAGAAGTTGAAAGCAGAGAAAAAAACCTTATTCTTGACACAGAACAAATATTCAAATGAACACAAAACAAAATTTCAAACACCATTAGGAAAAACTAGTGACCCAAGTGCAAAGCTTCAAAACCGAAACACTTTCATGAAAGGAATTCATAAAAGTACACCATCAGCAATGTCATTCAATATGATGCAGTCTACATGCATTTTCTGTTCTGTGCCACATGATTCATTTAAATGTAAAATGTCACCACAAAATAAAATAGAAGTTTTAAAGAATACCAAACCTTGTTTAAATGTTTCAGAATGTATCACATCAGTAAAAACTGTCATTCTAATAAACTTTCTTGTTTCAAATGCAAAAGCAAAAGTCATCATAGTTCCATTTAAACACTTTTTATTCTGAAACTGTCAGTTCAATTTCACAGTGTAATGCAAGTATGACATATTCCAAAAACGTTTATTTACAAACATGTGCAGTTATTGCAAATTCAGAATTTAATTCTAAAGTAACTAGGCTTCTACTGGATAATGGAAGTCAAAGAAGTCAGGGTTCGTACACATTTCTGCACATGAAAATTAAGGACTTTTAAGAACCATTAATGAAAAAAATTAAGGACCTATGAGCAAATGGGAACTGAATAAATTCAATTAAAAGTATTATCTACGCCTGAATTTCACTTTTGTAATACCATCCTAAAAATAAAATAGATCTCTAAGTAGTCTACATTATTACTAAACATGAATTAATCAACATAATTATTAATAAGTTTGAGAATAAAATAAACTCTATGCAATTTATCAAGAACCATTAAATATTTTACACTTACAACAGATGGACAAATTTAAAAGAAGATAAGTGACATTTACGTTTTACTCACAGTTAGTTTTATGTTTATTTTTTTAAATGTCTCATTTTGTCACATAATTGGTCAATCCAGAGGTTGAGTAAATAGCAGGTAGATTTTATGTCAAACGGCATAGGTTAAAATGAGAAGTAAGATCATAATCAGCATGATTCAGAACAAAAGACTGAATATTGTTACTACTATTACTTGTCGAGAGAGAGAGAGACCTCCTCATTAGAACAAACCTGAAAGGCCTGATGCAGGTTCATAAGTGTTGAAAGTTAGTTGGGCTCTGTTTGATGCACTTAGTGCCGTAGCTTCATGTACAGTTTCAGGGGTTGTAACCCAGTTAATATATTTTAAGGTTCCAATAAGCCATTAAAGCACCAGAGGTGATAAGCTGTTTTGTATTAAGTCTCACTAGATGCAAAGAATAAGTTTTACTTGAATTTTTACGTTTTGTGTTTTATCTTGTGACCACAATGA